GGGCTATAAAATAGCTCTTAGAAAGCAAGGTGAGCTTGTATTCTTTAGGAGATTCTGCAGGTAACCTCCCTCCCTTCCTCTCTCCCTCCCTCCCTCCCATCCCACCTTCATATCACAATATAAACAATTTCGCATCCTTCTAGGACAAGTCAGTTTTGCAGACTTACATCAGCCATCCAGATCTTTGGGGAAACTTCTCAATACCCATTGCTTATTTATTGCCTTATTTATTTATTGCTTTATTTATTTATGTATTGTTTATTTATTGATGGCTTTATTCATTATAGGTTTACTTATTTATGCTTTGTTTATTTTTTACTTTATTTATTTATTGCTTTATTGCTTTATTTATTTATTTTTGCTTTATTTATTGCTTTGTTTCTTAATGTTTTATTAATTTATTGCCTTGTTTGTTTGTCTGTTTGTTGCTTTATTTATTGATTTGTTTGTTTATTGCTCTCCTCTTGAACCTCAGATAGGGACCCTAAAAAAAGTAAGAATCAAGAAGTTATCAGGATTCTGGTGCATCTGAAAACAAACATCACACTTGCTTTCTCTAAAATGGTGTTCTTACATTTTGCCATGGCTAGAATTGAAAAGGAAAACAAGAGGAAATTCATAGCATCTTTCTGAACAGGTTTTCTCTGCTTTGACATATGACGTTTTGAAGAGAATGTAAAGATGTAAAAAGGGGATCCTTCTTATAAAGGGGATCATTTCATGATGGTATTTGCATAAGTCCAGTGAGGTTCAAAGAAGCTCCTTGAAAAACAGGTTCAGTGGCGACTTTGTATTCATTCAGAGAATGGAGATAAAGTCCTACTTTCTTTGCTGAAGAAGCTTCTTGGATGTGATGCAAAATGTCTTCAAAAAAAGCAATAAAGTCCAGTTGTGTCTTGAAAAAGCAACTTTGGGTGTTTTCCTTCTTTCCTTCCTTCCTTCTTTCCTTCCCTCCTTCTTTTCTCCCTCCCTCCCTTCATTTCTCCCTCCCTTCCTTTTTCCTTTCATTCTTTTCTCCCTCCTTCCCCCTTCTTTCTTTCTTTCCTTCCTTCTTTTCTCTCTTCCTCCATTCCTCCCTGCCTCCCTCCTTCCCTCCCTCCCTCCCTTCGATCACAATAAAAAAAAACATTTCTCATGCTTGTACCACAGACCATATTTTCAATCTTAAATCTGCCCCATTCAGATCTTTTGAGCAAATGTATGTATGTTTGTCTATCCTGATAGATATCTAGATGTATGTATGTATGTATGTATTATGTATGTATTATGTATGTATGTATGTATGTATNTTATAGAGTGCTCCTGGGGGCTGGGGTGACAAAAATAATCAAAAACGCGCCCATTTTTTCCTCATTTTTGCCCTGCCAAGCCTCCAGGAGCACTTTGCAAGCCTCCCAAGCCCTCTGCATGTCCATTTTTTTTTGCAAAGGAATGGGGTTTCTATAGGCCAAAAATGCTGTATTCAGTTTATAAGATGCACTCAGATTTTCACACATTTTGGGGAAAAGTTGCATCTTATACTCTGAAAAACAAGGTAGGTGGCTGTCCAGTGTTTTCTTAAAAACATTTGGTGATGAAGCACCTACAACCTCTGAAGGCAAACTGTTCCCCTGGTTATCCCAAAGGTGCTTTTTCAAGAGGCAACTGGATTTTTTTTTTAACATGTTTCACTTCCCAACCAAGAAGCTTCTTCAGCTCTTGGATGAGAAACAAAACTTCTTCAAAGAAAAACCAGAAACTTCAGTCGCCTCTTTAAAAAAAAACCTTTGGGACAATCATGACCAGGATGTCTGAGAATCTCCATAGAGGTTCTACTGGTTAATTGTCCTCTCTGTTGGGAAGCTTCTCCTTAATTCCAGGTTTCTTTTCTCATTGATTAATTTCCATGCCTTGATTCTTGTTTTGCCTTTTGGTGCTTTGGAAAATATGTTTCACCGCCTCTTCTTTGTGGTAGCCCCTAAAATACTGGAATACTGCTATCAAGTCACCCCGAGTCTTTCTTTTCTCTAGATTCAATGTTTTTCTCTCCAGGCCCTTAAACAGAGGACTGGAGGTTTCCCTCCAGATTGTAAATGTCTTAGAAATGTTCTGCTTTTTATATTGACTTATATCATACATTGGTCTTTTCCTGTATTTGTATTTTTGGTTTGCAGCACTTTGGTGCCCCCTAGAGGAAATCTCTTCTGAATTTTAAAGGAAGAAAGTTTGTTCTCCCTCTGCCTTTCTCAAACAGTCAATCAAAGCTCTGCCTTCTACCCTTATCCTGAAGATCTGAGGAGAGAGATTTGAAATAGAGATTAAGCTGCATTGCCTTTTTCCTCTTTTCTCCACTCTAGATACCTACTGAATTTTATTTTGATTTTCAATACTGATCTCTGGTGCTCAACCACAGGAGTAAAGGGAAATTTGAAATAAGGAAGTAGAGAGAGAATGAAGGAAGGAAGGCAGAACGAAAGAAAGTCTGGAAAGGGGAAGAAAGAAAGAAAGAAAGAAAGAAAGAAAGAAAGAAAGAAAGA